TCCCAGCATGCCCACAAACAGCTTCCTGTCTTCTAAGGGGAAGGAGATTGCCAAGACGGGAGGAGAAAAAAGAGGATCATGTGTGGGTAATGTGAGTGAGATTACAGAGGGCAAAAAGCGGGAGTAGATATTTTATGGGAGAGGAGATACAAGCAAGTGAAAAAGGTGGAAAAAAAAGGGAGAAGTGCCACGTCACTGTACATGCATGAATAACGGGGAACAACAACAGTGTCATAAGCAGCGAGAAAAGCAGGATGGATGTCAGCCTGCAATGCTTCAGGGCACCACCAGAGTGCAGTAACACGAACATCACAACAAACAAACAGCATCTGGCGGTGACTCAAATGTTTGTCACCCTGTGTGTTGTCAGAGAAGCTGCTCCGTCTGTCCCCGTCTGTGAAGGATCAGACCAGTGTTTCTGCATGTTTTAGCCCATTCACTACAAATCACATTGCATTCCTGCATACTGTTCTCCAAAGATTTATACATTATAACCTTTATTCTATATATAACAGGCTGCTACTTCCTTCCTTCACTTTAGTATGGTATGAAAATCAGCTGTTGAGAGACTTACAGCTTGAGATGCAGTGTCACAGTGAACTTATCGTTGTCTTTATTGTTGTGTTAAAACATTTATTTACACATGCTACTACTAAAAATGGAGTTTTGCCTGTGTGGCGTGCTTGGATTTGAGAGCTGGGTGCCAAAATACACTGAATTCACAAGCTGGCATTTCAAAATATCAAACAAACGAAAAGTACAATTTGATCCTTTGTTGTATAAAAAGCTGTGGTATGACAGCTGACATGTAAGAGCTTCGACTGCGATGAATTTTTACCTATCAGGCAAATTTAGTGTGCTAAGCTCACTGTCATACAATACTGTAATTAAAAGAAACAAAACTGTAGTATGTTCTGCAAAAAATGGTCACAACAAAATATATTACACGTGTGTTGTGGTAAAAGTGCAAAAACATGATTCTTTAGGTGTCGAGTTAAAATAAAAATGTGAACTCAAAATGTTAAAATGGAACAGATTATTATATATAATAATATATATATAATATAATATTTTGACTTATAATAGGAAAAGCACAGGTGTTACGAATAACATTCACAATGACTCTTTTCTATTCAGTGTGACAGTGAGTCAACATGAACTATACCAGGACCCTCGAACTGTGACAATGTCTCCTGTGAAAAAGGCCTATTAGATAGACTTTATGTATCTCAAGCTTTAAGTTCTCAAATTGATGGTTAAATCTTATTAAAACAGCAGCTGCCACAAAACTATGGTATGCTTTGGCAAATGAGCAACAGTAATGTCACATACAAAACATACATACAAAACATACAAGAACGTGATGCTTTAAGTCTGTGGAAAACAGCTTTTATGCTCGTAAATGTTGAAAAGTGGGTGAAAATTAACTAATAAAGTGACTGATTAGATGTTAGGGAAGAGGGATCTTAAGTGTGTAAATCCCGCAGTTGAAGCATGCAGCTTTTAGGTGTGGTTTGACAGCAACAGAACATCCATTTTAACAGATAATTTAATCTAATTCTGAATCCTGAATTGTAGTTTTGTTAAAACAATTCTCTGCTGGAGAGATGATTAAATCTTGCATATTTTCTATGCAAGTTAAAGTTGCAACATCCTTAAACATCAACTGGTATTGTCTTGATTCTGGTTGTGTCATGTAAAGACTTTACATTTCACTTGTTGCAAGAAAAACAAGTGTTTAAGTGTGGACACAAGACTAAATCACTTGTTGAGACGGACATTTTTGGCTGTGTACTTTGTAAAGGTGTTGTTTGAACAGGTGCTGTGTTTTCTGGGTGGGGACAGGTGTCTCTTACCCCCTCTGCTCTCGCTGTCTGCCGGCTTCACTTGGATTGGACGGTTCATCTGGAAAGAGCACATGGCACGGTCAGTATAAATACAGGACAGAGATGTGAAAAAACAGGACAAATAAATAAAAATGTCTTGTAAGATTGCAAAATATATGTACTGACTAAATATAACTCGTCTGGAAATGCTATCAGTGCTGTAATATGACGTAATGGTGACATATGCGTTCATGTATGGATGTTAGTGAATTTGGCCGGTGCTCCAACCTCCTACGATCCCCCACTAATTTATCTTTTTTCTATTTTTGCCAACTGTACTCCAGCAGACCACGGCTGACACCGATATGTGTGATATTACATTTACAGTGTCGTACAGTCTCTCTCTCTCTCTTTCTCTCTCTCCACCTCCTCTCTCCGAGTCTCTCTCAGAATCTGCTCTAATCCTGCCGTCTACTGTTCCTCCCCCCCCATCACACAAAACCAGGAAAAGCACACACCCACGCGGGATTGGGGAAGTGATAAGATTAAGCACACTCGCCGGCTAATCTGGATTACAGGAGCACGCAGCATCAGAATAGTGAGAGATTCTGAGCCTGACAGAGAGACGATGACGAGGGTATACAGGGTTAGGAAGGAAGGAATGATATCTGGGAAAAAAAACTAAGAATAAAAGAATGACAAAGGAAAAAGAGAGCACACACAACACAGAGAAGGATTAGGCGACCTTTTCATAATTCATCAAAAGACAAGCTGCTGAAATGCCATTTTCTTTCCTTTACTTCTCCACAATCATTGTCCTCCCCACTATTTAACAAAACCCCTATATGAAATTATGCACACTGGTGCCTCGGCGCCTCGCCTTTCAAATGTATAGAGCACGAGAGCTGTGAAAAGAGGTATTGAATGAAATGAAGAAAAGGAACGAACAAGAGAGGGCAAATGGGAGAAGGGTGGGATTGAGAGGGATTGAGAGGAAGGAAAGGAGCATATGGAGGAAAGGATGGAGGTGGGGGGGATGTGTGTGTGCGTGAAGGGAGGAGGAGGAGGAGGGAGGGCGATGTCGGTGAGGAGTCGAGGTGAGAGCAACAGAGTGACACTCTGTTAACTGTGGCTTAATGAAGGTCTTAATTATGGAGCTGGTGACATTTCAGCCAGTCACTGATCCCGTGTCACTGATTGATCCGCTGTGATCGGTCACCAGGAGACACTATTGATTGGTGCTGCAGTTGCGTCCTGCCACCAGGACCCGCATGCACAAACACCGTCCTTGTCCACGTTGCCGCCGTACCCCGGCTGAAATACCACCAACACCTGCTGCAAAGGGCCTGTGTCTCCTCACTCAGAGCGCAAAACTGATTGCACCAATTAATAGGATGATAGAGTAGATGGAGGGGCAAAGTCTCAAAACCATCTTCCCATCAGTCAAGAAAATGTGGGCAACTTCTCCTGCAGTTGTTGAATAGTAATTTTTGTTTAAATTAGATTTAACATGTTTTTGTTGCAGGGAAATAAAAAAAATCATTGCAACTGGACCCAAACGCCCCAAAAGTTCATGTACTTGTGGTGTTAAAAGGTGCTTTGAATAAAATTCACTCAACAAATATCACTCATGTTATTGTAGAATGGTCCATTCATTGTCTCTTGACCACTGTTCACCACTCAACCAATCGCTGCTCATGCTACTTGTAAACCTACAGTACGAGTGCAACAACTATAACCTCTGCAGAATGCCATATTATCTACTACTGTTATATTTACCCTATGCCTCACTGTCCATTGTACAGTATGCTTTGCTTTATCCTTACTCTTCATTTATACTCTTTTATCTATATGTTGAACCGTAGACAGGATTTCAGAAGTCATAGTCCCCCCATTCTGTGTTTGTGTTTTTTAAGATGTTTTGTTTTTTTATCTAATATGATTAATTAGTGCATCTTTATTCACAGTCTTTTGACTCTTTTGTCTCTCATTCAAATGAAATCATAACGCCCTCTCAGCTTTTTTATCCACTTAATTTGAAAGTGCATTCCATTTTTTATGAAAATGTTTTTGAGGGGTTGAAATGAGAGGATTTTCAAAAATAAAATGCTTCAAAAATGTGCGTAAATGGAGGCAAAGAGGGCAGCTTTACACAAATAAAATCATAGCTGATGGCTGAGGATACATTTTCTTTTACCGATCAGATTATTGCAGTCGGTGTCTGACAACAAGACCTTGGTGGTTGCTTATGGCTCTGTGTGGATGGTATAGACATAGAGAGCAATTTACACAGACACATTCTTTCTATGATTCTATGATTTCTATGATCTATAATTCATTGACAACAGAGCCAGACTCAGGATGAGATTAGATCTTTTCTAATGCAAAGATAAAACATAATCCCTTGTGAAATATCTTGTCTAATCTTAGTGTTGAGTTAAGGAATCAAAGCTGATGCTACTACCCCACGGCAGTAGTTTAATGTGACATCTTTGATTGATAACACGTTTGAATGACGCCTGTAAAACATCCCATGGCCCATATTTCAGCAGGACAAACAGTAAAGGCTGTGACAGTGACAGTGGCGGTGGCGATAAGGAGAAGCGCAGCAGATGGCTCAGGAGATTGGAATTAGAATATACAAGAGGGAAAACAGTGAGAAGTGGTGGCCATCAAGGCTGTGCCACTTCATATCGGCACGGCAACTGGCCCCGCTGCTCTGACGAAAGACCGTGCTCGCATGGCCATCGTCATGGCAACCCCGGCGATGAGACCCCCACATCAGGTAAACAAGGTTGCCCTGAACGACGTGCGGAAGAGAAGGGTTGAAAAACAAATGGGGAGGACAAAGGGTGCTTCTAGGTCGAGAGATAGAGGGATTAGGTGTGTGAGGGAGGAGGAGGAGGAGGAGGAGGAGGAGGAGGAGGAGGAAGGGGTGGGGGGAGGAAGGCGGAGAAAGGAGAGGAAAAATGAAAGACACCGAACAAATAAAAAAAAGAAAGGATGATGGAGGGAGCATTCGTGCCTGTTGAATGTTGGCGCTGCCTCGAGAGCAGATGCAGAAGCAGAGAGAAAAATATCTCCCTCTAAGCCTCAACCACTAACGTACACACTTTACAGTAATTTGCTCTCTCCCCTCCTCCTCCTGTTGCTCCCCTCCCCTCCCTCTCCTTTTCTCTCTTAGGCTTGTTTACAAAAACAGTCCCATCCTGTGCACAGACAACACACAGGCAAAACCTGCCTGATCAACAGCCCATTTTACCTGTGTGTTTTTTGCTATTTGTTTTTTTTTTCTTTCTTCTTCTTCTTCCCCCTGCGCTCCATCTCCAAACACACAGCGCTGATATTATATACAATCATCCTCAGAATAAACTCACATTCATTGTTCTCCCCCCCCCCACACACACACACACGCTGCCCCTGTCGGTCACACTGACATGAGCACACATCTACACATACTTAATCTTTTTCGCTCTGTGATGCCGCGGGGGATTTCACTAGGATTATGAGATATTAAATCCATAGATTATCCAATCAAATCACAGCTCGACCCCTTTCGCCATAATGCATAACACCACCCCACACCCAGCAACCCAACCCCACCCCATAAACATCAGTGTCCACACACACTGAGGAGTGGCACCCATGCAAATGCATTTTCATCCACTACAACCATGTGTTTTAGACAGAGGATCGTTTACAGTCGCAGTGAGTAAAACGTATCAATGATGACATTTTTCTCATTTTTATATTACGGCCTGCAGAGCGGATGATAATCTCTACGCTCTCAGCACGACGTAGCGAGTGTTGTTGAGTCTATATAGGTGCTGCTGTGTGAGGGTGACACATTTCCGTCGCCTGTTTTCTCTCCAATTTCAATCCATTCTGCCTGTCTGCCCTGAAAAGCAGCCACTCTGAATGGTAAATATATCAGCAGAGACCATCTCCCCTGGTCTTTCAAGAACATTTACAGCAGGGAGGCAGAGTTGTGGGGGGGGTGTAGGTGGGTGGAGCGGCAGGGAGAAGGGGGGGCACAAAGACAATTTTCCATCTTCGCCTCCCCTCCGCTCCATCACACAGTGCTGGTCATTGCATCGTGCCGGTTGCCTAGCAACCTGGCATCCCTGGTCCCCGCCGTCTCCAGGCAACGAGACCTGCGACCGTAATCAACCTGCCACCTCCCGCCTCCCCCCCTCCCCTCCCCTTCCTCCCTGTTCTGTTTCTCTCCCTTCTCTGCTGCTTTTGCTCCCTCCGCTTCTCCATCCACCACCTCCTCCTCGTCACAAATGCACTTACGCTGGGACGCACTTGTGAATTCACCCCAGGGAAGAGAACAAGCACAGGTGGAAATTGGTATATTCACAAGGCAACAAAAAAAAAAAAAGAAACAAAAAAAAGAAGATCAATAGACGCAGATGATCGTGAGCTCACACAATGAGTTGTAACAAAGCGATAGAGGCAGGGACAAAACAACAGAGATGCACAAGTGCGGTTCTGTTAATGTTTCCACACGTGGATGCACACACAGATGCGAACACACATGGGCGGGTGGGCACACAAAGCGGAGAGAGAAACTCTACGTTCTCCAGAATTCAGCCAGTCACTAAATCAATCAAACACAAAGAGACCGACAGCGCAACGCTTGTACAGTTCAATAATGTTTAATCAATGATCCCGTCTTCAGTGTCAAAGCTGTTTCCCACTGTTGTCTCCCACTCCTACAGGGTTCACTAGTCTGTCCAGTATCGAGGCAAAGCTGACAGCTCTTGAAGCCGACGTTCAGCCGTTTTTGGGTTTTCTTGTCAGACAGCCAACAAAAATCCTTCAAAGTGGTGAAACTGAATATCAAAGAGTAAATTTCTAACAACACTCAAGTTGACTCTCAATTGTTTTGTCTCTTCTGACTGTTAAATATTCATGTCAAGTGTTGTTTGACTCGACTCAGTGGAGCAGAAGGGGGAAAGAACTGAATCACGGACAGATTTATATGTGTGTGTGTGTGTGTGTGTGTGTGTGTGTGTGTGTGTGTGTGTACACAGATAGGGTCCATGTCCTACTTTCCTTTTTATTAAACTTTTTTTTTAATTTGGCCCAGTGTACACCAGGAGTCCAGTGTATGTGTAGTTCAAAGAGCCTAATGAGTTTTCTGACAACAGCCTCTTCCCACTTTTGTGTGTGTTCGCCTACCACAGGCACACTCCCCCCCCCAAAACACACTATTTCTCAGTAACAGATGTCTGTATTTAAGCTGATAAACACACTGCCTCAATGCACCTCCAACCCCCTCCACCCTTACTGCCACCCACTGTTCATTATGTCAAACTTTCATTCATCTCTTCCTCCCTTCCCCCCACCCTCACTTATTGCCCTCTCCCCTCCCCTCCCTCCTTCATTTATCCAATTTCTCTCTAGTTCACACCCATTTACCACCTCTATAAATCCAATCTGCATTCATCATTACAGTCGCCCCAGAGTGACGTACAGAGGACGGGCCCTTTTTTTGTTGTCAGTCGGTGCCGCCTGTCCTGCATCGTCCCTGTCACGCATTGATATGCATGCATATGTAAATGGGGTCGCCGCATGAATGCACACTTAGCTCCAGATAGATTCATCAAGTGAACACATTCGCTCTGAGGCGCACTAATTGCTATCATCATCGTCCCTGCAACTGACTGACACCAAGACATGGCTACATATGGAGGCACTGCTTTATCTGCTTATTGTCAGATACATGAAATATCTCACATGTTCAGCATGTTTAAAGGGAGGGCCTCAGTGAACCGAATCTGATCGTCTACGGTGTGTTTTTTTGTCATATTTCTTGCCTTGTTACACATCAAATGTCAGTTTTTGCTTATTTTATCAGTGGTTGTCAAATGCAGAGTGTACAGAGCAAAGAAATACATAAGAGACATCAGGCTGCAACTGTACAGCAGAACATTTACTCAGACATTAAGGGCACAACATTGTGGCACTACAACTTCCTATCTCATATCCTGCTTAAAAAGCCTGGGCTATATTTAGCATATGCATTTATTTCAGACTATTGATAAAACCCCTCTGTCTGCTCTGTCTGAGTCCTTATGGCTGAGTAAATGTCAGGCTTAGTCAGATGTTCCACTCAAAGAGGGCTCGTTCCTCTCGTATGGGCAGCTTAAACACAGAAAGGCCTTGCAGCTCAGATTTTACTCTCTCTCACACACACACACGCACACACACACACAAACACACACAAAGCAGATAGTAAATGAAGAAACCCGAGAGGAGAGTATAATAAAACCAACAACTTCCATCTACACATCCATCCATCCATCCATATCTTTGGATGTGTACTCTCCACGGAAACGCATGCACACAAAAGCAAACAGACACTTACACACAACCGCGCACACGCACACACACAAAAGCACACGCACCCTTCATTAAACCGTGTTAGTGCGAACACCTGCCCTCCCTTCCCCCCTCTGCACATGCAAATATACACCAAACACACACAGCCACTTTCTCACTTGGGCACAGTCACATTATTAAATACTTATTGCATTTAAAATTAACGGTGAGGCATTGTTGCAAATATTAAGTGAGTGTTGATGAGGGGCAATATATTACGTCTCTACTGAAGCAGATATGAGCTTCAGGGTTTGCGACCGACAATACTTCTCCCGTTCGATCAAACAAAGAGTTTGACATTTTGGGGCAAATGCGCCAATTTGCTTTCTTGCCGAGAGTTAAAATGAAAAGACTGATATTACTCCTACACTTAATTAAATGGTTCTACTGTCAGTAGCTTGTTAGCTTAGCTTAGCATACAGACTGGAAACAGCTAGCCTGGCTTTTAAACGAACAAGATATAACATGTTATAAGTGAGCTTTAGAGGAGCTGCTAAGTGGATTTTGTTACCTTTGGACAGACTTTTTATCTTTCCCTTTAACCTACTGATTATTTTCTCAATAATCGATTGATTGTTTGGTTCCTAAAATGACAGAAAATAGCAAAAAAATGCCCCTCACAAGTTCCCAGAGCCTATGGTGATGTCTTACAATATCCAACAGTCCAAAACCCAAAAGATATTTAATGTAATATCCTAGCATCACATAACAGTAAGAAAGCCAGAAGACATTTAGTTCAAAAAAAAAATATTGAATTTGTGCCATTTTTTTCTTGAACACTTAAGGCATTATGAAAATATTGCTGATTCATTTTTGTTGATTTATGTCAAATAATTTCAGCTCTAATGACCTGAAATGGTAAACAGCAACACCCTCGGCTCATTCAACAGTTATTTGGTTATTTCTGTTGGAAAGAGAAGTTTGGTTTTGTAGGTTGCCTCATAAAACGGCTTCTTTTAATGTGGAATAACTGGAACATTACTGTCTCTACGAGCCTCAACAACAGCAGACTTGGCCAGACAAATTAGCCCGAGACAGTACAGAGATAAAGAGATAAGAACAGAGGGGGAAAGAGTACAAGATGTCCAAATAGGATTGAATGGGAGCACAGCTCATGAGTGAATCTTTTCTCTTCCTAACCTCCATTTCCACACTTCTTCCTCTCAGATTGAATGTAGTTTATTGCTGCTGCCTTTTTTTTTTTAGGTGTTTTTTTTTAACTCCACCATTCTCTCACTTTCTTTCCTCGCTTTCGGCTGAATGTGCTTTTGACACTCTTCCTCCTCCTCTCACTTAGAGACGGACTCTCTCACCTGAAATTAAACACAAGGCCAGGTGCCACTCTGAAACAACCATCTGTTCGCCCCGGCCTGACTTCTTTCTCCGTTTCTTTTTCTTTCTTCTTTCTCCATTGTTAGCAAGGAGAAAGAAAAAAAAAAATAGGTAAAATAGCAAGGGGGGGGCAAAAAAAAAGCCTTAAGTCCGACCCAGAGAGGAGAAATGCTAAAAAAGAAATAGTAGTGTTGAGTGTTAATGACATCCTTCAGCTTTCTCTACATTCAGGTGAGCCTTCATACAAGCTTTCTCCCCTCAGTCCTATAATTGCCTTCATGTTATTTCTTTTGTATCGCCCCGGCCATGAGATGCCAAAGTTAATTATTCTTTGGCAGTGCAGGTGCAATTAGATGACAATTACACCACAGCTGGTAGCAGGGGTGGGAAGCAGCTCTTGTCCGTGTGGGCGTGTATGGAGCTAATAAGATGGTTTTCGTCTTTTTTTTTTCTTTTGGCAAAGAGGTTGAGGGGGTGGGGGGCAGGGGAGGATTTTAGGGAACACAGGGCGGTTTAGCTTGTTCCACACGGCTAAGAGGTAAGAGGTTGTGAGGAGAAGAGCCGCTGGGGTAGAAACACGGGGGGGGAAGGGGGCTTTAGCCATGGGGCATTGGCCCCTGCTGATCCTCTACGCGAGGTCAGGAAGGTCACGCTACTGTCACGCTAACAATGGGATCTCTTTTGTTGCAACCCTAATACCAGCCTGCTCCTTCAAACTGTCTCTAGTATCCCCCAATAACCCCCTGCCTGCCATTACAACTGTGATTTAATCCTGAAAACAATCAATAAGTCAATCTTCAATAATAATAAGTAGGTTTAATTATGTTTATTTATCAAGGGGTAAAAAATCCAATTATTTGCTGGCTCAAACTCCTCAAAATGTGAGGTTTGGTGCTTGTGTCTGCTTAAGGGTTGTTTTCTTTGTATTGTGTTGTCTATAAAATGTCTGAAAATAGTGAAAAATACTCGTCACTCGTTCCCAGAGTATAAGGTGATGCCGTCTCTTGTCTTGTTTTGTGCCCAAAACTCAAAGATATTCAGTTAACTATCACATGAGACAAACAAAAGTGGCAAATCCTCATATTTGAGAAGCTTTAGCAAGAGAATGTTTCGCATTCTTTGTATTAAAATGAACCAAACAATTCATTACAATAATTTTCTGTCAATCGACTACAATAACCCTTATTTTAAGCAAATAAGTTTGTCTTAGTTTTGAGCCTTTTTTTGCTCCTGTCAAACTAAACAATTAATCGATAAATCAAACAAAATTGACAGATTAATCAATACTGAAAACAATTGTTAGGTGCAGCTCTACATTGTTCCTTTTTCCCTCAAAAACTACTGTCATGAGCTGCCATTCAGCAGGGGCACACACAAAAAAAAGAAGTGAATGATGTAGATTTCAACAAAAATAACCAAAAGGAAACGGGGGTAAAGCCTTGTTAGTAAAAGAGGAAGCAGCAGCAAGTCTGGGAGCACACTCTGTCTCAGTAATTCCTTGCCTTGTCGCCTTGTCTCTCATATAGTCGGTTATTATAGAGACGCGGCTGTCATGTCATATTTAGCTCTGGAAATGTCATTTGGCAGCACACCTGCTGCCTGGCTATGCTAATAAAGCTAGGTTTAACTTTGATTAGAATTCAGAGGGAAAGATGGATAGAAAGAGAGGAAAGGAGGGGGTGGAGAGAGAGAGAGAAAGAAAGAAAGAAAGAAAGAAAGAAAGAAAGAAAAGACGAAGACACAAAAAGAAAGAGAAACATCAGAGAGAATAAGAACTGGCAAAGTCACTCCAGCAGCGAGCCTCATAGCTGTCTCTTTCGACCCGTGACATGTTGCAAGATGACTCATGCCTTAACTGGATGGATATGTCTGGATGCATCACATATGAAACATAAGAGGGAGAGCAGCCTCTGACCTTTATTGGAGAATATCAGCTAAAGGGGGAAGTCGGGCCCGCATGTCAAACTCGGTTAATTTCCCCGTGTCATTGTGTGTCCTCGTGTGTCTGTGTGGTGCGTTCAGATAGCCCAGAATGCCAGTTATTTTGCTCCGTTTATATATTTTTATACATGTGAGCTGTTGAGGATCTTGAAAAGACAACGACACACTCACCCCTGGTAGTGTCTTCTGCTCGTGCAGTGCATTCTGGGCTTTGAGGGCGGACTCACGTGCACAATATGTCAGGAAGGCACATCCTGGAGACAAAAGCAGTAGAAGGTAAGCAAACTATAAAAACCAGTGTGTTTTTATGTTAGATTCATATGCTATACAGTATGTTAGAGCTGGCTGTACCACATTATGATAACCAAATCTGAATTAAACCTTTGGCCTGGCAAGGAGTTAGAAACATGCTGCTGAAGTTTATTATCCTATATTATAAATCTGCCATTTCATATAAGTGCTTTGGCTTTATTTAACAACAGTTCTGAGTCATCAGCATGCGTTTAAAATGTCTAAAAAGGCCTCTCGCCTTAAATCAGGCCATCTTTTTTTAATATGTGTTGAAAGCTGCATGAAACAGAGGCTAGAAAATACAATATAAACAACGAGCTGTCATTTTGTTAAACATTTCTTCCAGCAGCACTGGAGATCTATGGGATTATTAAATCATAATACCTGGAGACTATTCAGACACAAGCAGTCTGAAGGGGTATTTAATATCATGCTGGTCAAGCAAAATGTATGCAGTCCCACATAATAGAGAAAGGCCTTCATTAACCTTTAGGGCTCCCACAAATCATGAATATGTAAAATTATGCAGAATAGGTGTTATAGGTGTTAGAGGACTGATACCACCTGGCCTATACGTCTCCCAAATGACTGATTTATAAAAGCCTTTGTTTTCTGTGCTCAGATTTGCATTAGAAATGACAGCAAGGATCATTGTTTAGCTTAGATCACTTTAACCAGCTTTAGTCCATCTGTCAAACAGGATTTTGAGTGTGCTGAGACTTAACTTCCAAAAATAAGAGAAGCATGCTCACGATGTGACGCACAGCAGTAGTAGTGGGTAACATGAACTCCTTCAAATTGACTGATATCGCCACATGAAACCAATTATGGGCTGACAAAATACTTTCTGAGAGATTGAGACAACTACTTTTATGGTACTGACAAAAAAATAAAGACATGCAGTGCAACATTTTACTCTATTCAAGGCCTATTTTTTAAATTCCATCAGTCTAAAATGACTAATTTACGTCTATGTACAGTTTGTAATTATAATATCCAAAAGAAGGTGTGAAGAGGAGCCTCCCAGCATGCATTGTTTCCACATTTCAATTGTTGCTACAGTTAGTTAGCTCCTCAATGTGAGTGCATGTAGTGGACGGACTAAAGGTTAAGAGTGTATTGAACATTGATCTAAGAGTCTAAGAAAACTTCAAATTGCTCTTGATGAGCAGGACACAGATTGCAAAGCATGTGGTTCAATCTCAAATTTAAAAACTGGAAACTACCTATAAACCGTTTTTTTAAAAAAATCTGCTTTAGTGCTGTGAATGAAATCAAGTATTTTGTGTGAATCACAACAAAAACATGAGTCAAGACAGATCAATATTTTAGTCAGTCCATGGAAACTTTTTATCAACTGTGAATCAGATCTCTTTTTTAGATCAGTGGTGCTAAACATCAGGTTTTGACCTCACATGAGGTCCTTAAAGAGGCTCCAGAGGGACAAATGAGGAAACTGATTCTAGCTGAGAATTAAATCCTAACTGGAGGACATAAGATATAAGAGCAACTATTGTAATGACCACTATCTTTCCACATAATGAATACTAAATTAACAGTATCTTTCCCCCATATTAGCTCCTGAGACAAATGAGAATTCTTGGTCTGGATGACTCTCTTACCTTTGTGCATCCCTGTGTATTTGTCCTTTATCACCGTCAACTCATAGATCTTGCCGAACTGCTCGAAGATGGGCTTCAGGTCCTTCTCCTCCAAGTTTCGGGGTATCTGCCCGATGAAGAGCTTGATTGCGTCAGGCTCCTTCATTGAGAAGTCTGGGGAGGAATAATAACACACACAGAGAGAGAGAGAGAGAGAGAGAGAGAGAGAGAGAGAGAGAGAGAGAGAGAGACAGACAGACAGACAGACAGACAGAGAGAGAGAGAGAGAGAGAGAGAGAGAGAGAGAGTGGAGGAGGCAGTCAGGAGGAGCAGACAGGAGCCTGCAGGCTTAAATTCACACTGCACAGGAGGTGCAAACAGGAGGCCAGGGATGGAGGTGCAGATGGGAGCGTTCAGTGGGAATGGGAGGCTGAAATAATAGTTTCTACACCCTTGGAGACATGATAGTCATAATCCGGGTGTAGATTTTAGGAGTTTTATCACAATAAAACCCATAAGTAAGGCTTAGATTACAAGATATTAATGTATTAATGGCTAAAATTCTTAAGTAGCCTGTTAGAGATAAGAGATACATCATAAGAGCTATAAGTGCTGTAAATTCTATAGAAATAGCTGTGTAGTTTTATTTTAGAGGGCATTGTATGCAATTACACATATTTTCACACATATTTTTAGACACTATCTTGTGTTTTATTTGCATAAAACTCCGAATAAAAACACATTAATGTCAGAAAATGAAACTACAATCTCATAACTTTCAAATTCTTGCCAGTAGGCTACATGACCATTAGGGATCAATAATAGTGATTCATAGCAACAGAGCGAAGACATACTCCCTTTGCTTGAAATATAAATGATTTTTAAAAAATAATACAAGCGATATTGTAGTAAATAATAATGCTTTCGTTGCACTGAATTCGGTCTAGGCCGCCTATATAGAAACATGACAGTGTGTCTGTCAACACAGCTGGAGACCTGCGCTCTCTTTGTCAAGACGTGGGGTGACAACAACAATGACCTGGACATGATTTCACACATTTGTCCCCCCCCACTCCCCACCCCCCACCCCAAAAAAAAACCCCAACAAGAGTTTAAAAGAAAAAAAGAAATACATATATCATACCTGTGGTGCTGTTCGTGGCAAAGAATCGGCGTAATCAGTTGGATGCCTTTTCTTCTTTCCCCCCGCTGTTATTTTAGTTACTGAATCTCAATTGTTCAGTTCATCTGTCTGTAAGCGCGTCTGTGAATCCTGTAACAAGTTAGGCCTGCACCCCCCCTACAACAACACAAGTAACATCCAGCGACGGTCCTTTATTCGGCATGAGCGTGTTTTTCTAGATCTGCTTGTTGTTTTTCCCCTCTCTCTCTCTCTCTCTCTCTCTCTCTCTCTTTCCTGCTCTTTCCTGACAGATGCTCCGTAATTCTCTCTCTCTCTCAAATAAATCTGATATAAAAATAAACAAAAATCTCCCTCTAGCTTTGCTGAATGAGGAGTGTTGTGATAGATGAATTTTAGGCTCCCCTTCAGTGGACCGTAGGGAATTGGCAGTCTGGTTGGTTGTCCTCTCCTCTCCCTCTCTCCCTGTGTGTGTGTGTCTGTACTCCTTTGACGTCGTAAGCCGGTGTCTCCCTCCCTGTCCATCTCAGCTCCATCCCTCCTCCCCTGGGCTGTACGAGCCGTGATGTCTGCCGTCAGGGACCGTCGCTAAACTATCAGCCCTGTGACAGCAGGAGGAGGAGGAGGAGGAGGGAGGGAGAGGATGTGTAAGCCTGCATAAAACACAGTCATGGCTGTAAAGTGAGTTTTTTTTCCTGCTATATGTCATCAAAGCTTAAGTTTTATACTTATTGATTTATGTATTTGTGCGTGCCCCCCCATCAGACTCAGATACTGTGCACAGTTACTCTATTTTTGATGCCCAAATATCTAAATACCTAAACAATGGCCAATATGTATAATACTGTATGGCCAATAATGTTTTATATTATCTTGTTTTCCTCTAATTCTGCATTGATGTCATATGTATTACAGTCCTGGCTAATCACAGCACCAACTTGTGGCATTTACTGCTCATAATTAGGCCTTAAACTAATGTTTATGGATTAATCAACTGCCAATCATATTTCCCACATAAGCCCAAGTTGATATATTGTTTGTTTTGTTCGACTAGTGGTCCAAAACCCAAAGATACTCTATTTAATATCAAAGAAGATGTAAGAAAAACTAGCGCGTATTCACATTTTGAGAAGCTGGCACCAGTGAAAAATGACTTAATGATAAACACTTATACATTTATTTTGTGTAAACCTGCTAATTGATTAAAGAACTAATCGCTTCATCTTATCAAGTGAAAGCTTTTTATTTGTCCTGCACATTAAGGAGCATTTTGCACTGTTTCTCTATCTTTTCACATCACAAGACAAGATGACCTATAAAGAAAATATGTTGATTTTAACTTGTTTTTCCTACTTCTACCTGGTTGGATGACCATCATACTTTGTATTACATTCGTGGGAGGCAAATAGTAAGATCTAATGAATCCTTATAACAATAAGGAGAGGTGATTTATTTAGTCATAATATAGCAGGTTGTACATTCATGTTAGGTGTACTATAAGTAGTAACAAACAGCAGAAACTCTGACTCAGTTTAATGTTATTTACATGGACTCCATCAACGTATGTGTTTGTAACTTAACATAAAATCTCAACACAAGTTCATCTTTCATTCAGTTGCGTCACATTCTCAACACTTGTCCACCATTTAACTTTGTGAGCATTTAATACCTGAAATGGATGGCTTCAATTAGCCATCCAGGACGGTAATACGCAGCATGATAGTCATGAATGAGGTCTATAGATGAACATCCATCCATCTTTTATCTGTATCCATTTATCCTGTGCAGGGTCACGAGGGTTAGGTCATCAGTTCATCCACATAACGAAACCAGTGCACCCAGAGGACAACCAAACAGGCAGAAGCGAACCCATTAAAGGCAAAACAGATTTTAACCCAGGATCTGATCAGAGAGCGAGTAAATAACATTACCATGTAATCAGACAACGTTTTCAATACTCTACTGCGCAAAGAAAAAGACTGATACCTAGCCTTTAACTTTCCTGTATTTCAAGTGTTATAAGAGCTGAGCTGGTTTACTGTAGATGAAGTAGATTCTTTTTTTTTTAGTTTAATTAACTTTATCTCATGATTATTTGAGGAAAAATCTGGTCTAAGACCCCGAGCCTCTCTCTGAATGTCGTTTTTCATGCGGGCTGTTAAAAAGCAGACGGTCCCTGACATCAAGCGATGCAAAATCCGCCTTTTGTTCTCGCCGTGGAGCTGGCCATGGTGCTGAAATCAGTCTACTCAACTCGTCGTGACACGTTATCATGGCTACGATATATATATCTCTCCCCCCACCACCACCACCCCATAATAAAGACATTATTTTAAATAAGAGCTTTTTACTAAACGCAGGGGCCGTGATTTCACAGTGAACACACACACACACACACACACACGCCCTCTCTGAAATCTCGACAGCATGTAAACAATGAGCCCACATGACAGCAGGCTTGCACACACCCGACCTGCGCACACTTCAAAGGAGTCACGATCTGGACGTGCTTGGCTTAATAAACATTACAGTGTTTATTTCTAAAAAAGGAATAACGCAGCAGAACCTCTGGGGGGCCAACAGACCTCCACCGTTAATTCCTTTATTTCCAACAGCAGAATATCTCCTCGGCTTGTCTCTAATGTTAAGACTGCCATCTGCCATCAGTCGCTAAATCCGCCTTTCCGCCCTTCAACCTCCATATAAGCCTCACAGTGCAGGGGTCGAGGCGAACACACTGTGTGAACACACCCTGACTTTTGATCAGGTAGCCGATAAATTAATAATAAACGTGTGTGCGCTTTGAAAAACGTGATTTGTGTCACTTTGTCACAACGGATGGTATTTTTTATTTTATTTATTTATTTATTTTATTTCAGAGAGAGTAACCAACAACGACATCTGGCGACGAGCTGCAAACACACACGGTGCCAGTGGTGTTCATGTTGCTGCTGTGCTTTGAGTATATGACTTTGCAAAAGATATATCTAGGCACTTAAATGCGCTTTAGACGGTGGTGGAAGAAGTGGAAAGATTTAAGAAGTATTTAAGTAACAATAATTCATAAAATACTCCATTACATGTATAAGTCCTACTTTAAAAAGACTTTACTTAAGCAACAGTACATAGCATTTAAACAGTATGAGTAGTGTAGAAGGATCAAATTCATAGTGTTATATAAAGATTATTATTACTGATGTATAAAAGATTATTATTATTACTGATGTATTAATGTTATAAGCAGCATTTCACTGTTGCATACTGTTGGGGGAGTGGTTTAAGTGGCTTTAATGTGGTCTTCATTTCAACCTGTGTCTGAAAACAATGAAAGTATAAGAAGCATCGCTGAATTAAAATCCAGAAAATTTAAACTTGATTCTAGAAAATACTTCAAATTAGTTTTTAAAACGAATAAATGCATAATTTTTATAAAGGTGGTCATGTGTTGTATACAAAATTGGCCAAGAAACAGGCAACTACAGCTGTTAAAATAAATGTAGTGGAGTAAAAACTGCACTTAAGTACATTACTTGAGTAAATGTATTTAGTTATATTCCATAGCTGAATTTTACAGATAAAAATGTTTCTTGGGGCAGTGAAACAGCCTCCATAAATCAGACAGAGATCACCAGGGTCTTCACTTTGTCCTCTCCAAATGTAATGATTTTGAGTTTTCTGGATAAACTGAAGCATCCCTCTACTTCTTAGGCTAAAATAAAATAATAAAAACATGTAATTGATTTAAAATCCCATTACAGATACATGGTTGTCACAGCTGAATCACACGACAAGCTGTAAGATAATGACAGACAACACAACCTTGTTTTATTTTGATATGAACAATTAATTCTTTATTTAAAAAAAAACAAAAAACATGCATTTAATGGACATTATTACATACTGGAGGTGTATGAATACCTGGGTTTGTTGAAAGCAACAAGAGGTAATTGTAAGTGTGCATGAGTGCGACATAAAGAGAATATAATGTCTATTAAACAGTATTTAATAATCCTTGTCTGTACTTACTCACACGAGGCCTCTCTGTCCAACCTTCATGCTCTCCTGTGATTCCTGCCACACACACACACACACACACACACACACACACACACACACAAAACACACACACACACACACACACACACACACACACAGAGAGAGAGAGAGAGAGAGAGAGAGAGAGAGAAACAATTTCATCATTTTTATTTTCTCCCACCCTGTATTGATTGTTTTGATTTCCTGCTGGTGCCACTCAGTTTCTAATGTATTAAGCTCGGAGGCTTACTCAGCTGCTGCGGTGCACAGCATTCGTGTCAGACCATGAAGAGCCATCACTGGGAGCTGTGCAGGATTCAAAGAGGAGAGCCACACCACAGCATCAAACCCCCACCACCATCCATCAGTTAACATGTGGAAAAAGGTTCCCCCCATCACATCAGACACATCAAAGTGTGGCTGTGGATCCCTGAGGAGGAAAACAGGAGGAGGGAGGAGATGAAACAGAAAATAGGTTAAAATGCAAGGGAAAGAAGATTTGTGCAACATCCAAGAAAATAAGACATAATTTTTCACTTATGATGAAATAATAGGCCCAAAAAAAAAAGAAGAATTATGGCGCACATACATTTTGCGCAATAACACCGACATCTCAATGTAGACATGACATAATTATTGTTTAAGTGCTGCAGCTCCTCTCACAGAGCAGACAGATAAAGTAAAAGTGATCCTGGAAAGATTTACTGACATCTGGCGACGGGCTGGCTCACCTGAGCTCACTGCTCTATTTATTTATGTCAGGGACGTTTATTGTCAGTCTCATCGCAGCTTCTCGCCTCCGCAGAATAACTCCGCACTCACTTATTACGCCGAATGAAACTACAAGTAGAATTCACTTTCAGCTTCACGTTTTCACCGGATTTTTGCGGAGTTGTTTAAAGTGTCGCCTGGTTAAAATCGATCCTCATTGACGTAAATAAAGACTGTAGTTAATGATTGTCGTAACTAAGGCCCACCTCACCCGGACGGATTAATCAGTTACAACCTGATCCAGGTGCACATTTCTGCTGATGTGAATGTTAAACACACACACACACACACACACACACACACACACACCCTGGGTCTCGTTTAAGGCTTCATTTTTTGTTTCTTCACCACACTAACAAAACTCAGATCCATTAAAGTACAAGATCCCCCCCTTTATTAAACTAAAGTCAAACACATCTACCAGAGCTATCACTAGAGCAGCACACACCTTTATTTATTATTATTAAAATATTATTTTATTTAATCAACATTTTACTGTTACTTATTTTTCCTTTTTTTGGTTGGGGAGTGGCTTGTTTTGGTGTTCAACAGTCTAAATCCATTTTTAAGATCCAAAGTTTTGTCATTTGCATGTACTTTTTAAATTGCATTTGATCTGTTTGAAAGGCACTTTATAAATAAAGTTTTGATTGATTGGAACACTATAGCCAC